TGCCACATCTGGAGTTGAGAGTGTTCAAACTACAGCCAACAAACAAATCCCGAGAGGTCACACAAACAGACCAAAACGCTCTGAAATCTGGGGATGTGAAATCGGCCCTGTACCATGAAGGACCGTGAGATCTGCCAAGGAACACAGCAAAGTCTGCATCGGGACGATCAATAGAAAGAGAAGCAAAAAACTTGAAGCATTCTTCAAAGCTTTTCTTGTTTTCCACGGCATTTTTGAATAGGAAGCCGGAAGTAAGTAGATCCCGAGCTGGAACAGCGGATGAGACAGGAGCGAGGGTTGGGAAATAAGAATATAACCACAACTGTAAAACCCAAAGCGGCCCACCACTAAGGACTAAGGGGTGAGCCGTGATATCCTGACAACTCCTGTACAGATGAGCAAGCAAAAACGGACCCAGAGCCATTTGTTTACCATATGCTAAAGCAACAGCTAAAGGAATAAACTCTTTGGTGGGACCTTTGCCAGCAGAGCAGACTATATACTTGCAAATCAAAGTAAGCAGAAACGAAATATGTTCATCAGCACTGACAGGCTTACTTTTGTCATAGGCAGACTTCACGAAGGCTGGATAAGAGGGTTTCAACTCCACATTGTACTCAACACCGGGAGGTACGGTTAACAATGCTGAAATCTCTTCTCCAGTACAGGGCAATCCGGTTAGTGAGCTGACATCAAAAAGGCTCACAGACATGGCTCCACAGGGAAAATGAAAACAATTGAAAGAGCCAGACCAAAATAACAAAGCTGCACCCAAGGCCATCTTGTCCATGGTGAACCTGCATTTGGTGAGTTGTATAAACTCAAACAGACCCACATCTCTCCAAATTTGGCCAAAATCAGGTTCTAGACGATCAATCCACTCTACCCATTCTGATTTTCTCCAAGCCGGCCAAGCTCCAAAAGAACCAACCCACTTACTCCAATCAGGTTTTACTTGAAAGGGGAGCAGATGTTCTTTGGGTTGTGGATAAATGGATGCAAGGGCAGCCGGTGGGTTAGACACAAAATAAGGGCCCAAAATCTGAGATTTTCTGTGAGGAACAAAAGTTTGGCTTGAATGGCATGGTTTCTGTTTTTGGAGTACCCTGTTTATATCATCTTGAAGGTTACGGTTTTGAAAGATTTTAGTTAAATCTGGGGGAGGTGACCTCAAGCAAGGAGTGGCCTTTGAACCGGCCATGGAAGCAGATCCGGTTGGCATGGATTGTTCTTCTCGGTCATGAGCCATGAAAATAATTTTGGCAAGGAAAGGTTGCTCGGTACTGGTCCACCGAACACAAGCCAGGCGGATTTGCACATAAAAAAAAAAAACAAACAAGAAGGAGTTAGCCGGCAATCACAAAGACAAGGAAGATATCCGGTAGGGTCCATGGGGCACAAGCAAAGTAAATCTTTGCAAATAAAATGAAAATAACAGTCAACAGCTACCTGTGAAGCAAGAAGAGTCTCCGAGGGGACCACCGAGCAGATCTGGACAAACAAGCAAAGGAAGAGTGCAGCCGGCGGCAAAGCAAAGTAAACTGGAAAGAGAGAGTCGGTGATGATGGCCCGTGGAGGTTGAAGAAGGTAAAGTAAAATTAATGGTAATTTTCAAGGAGTCCCTACTTTTGGGATTTGTTTTGAAAATTAATAGATTTTACTTAAAGAGGAGGAGACTTTTCAATGGGCCACATATGGTGAAAGCAAGAAAAGAAGAGTGCAGCCGGCAATGACCCAAAAAGAAAGTGAGTTTGACTTTTCTTTATTTTTGGGTTTTGAGAATTAGATAAATTTTGAAAAAGGAATGGCTGGGGTTTATCTAGAA